GGACATCTTCAAGTTGCCAAGGTTGAGAAACACTGATCTAAAGTTTCTCAATACTAATCTTGGGTTTGGGGCTGGCGTTCGACCAAAAGGAGGAGTTAACACACAGTGTTTTGTTTTTTTTTAAAGGAAAATAAAAAAGGCAATTATTTCTCAATCTCAGCAGCTTTAATATGCGTGGACTTCAACTCCCAGGATCCCCCCAACCAGCATCTTCTATATTTTCAGATAGAGAACTACAGAACACAAAACACAAAAACTTTAAAATCCTAAAACAGACACGCCACAATTGCACAGCAGCAGCGTCTAGACCTGAAGCCTCCGGAGCGGGAAAAAATCTCCTGAGGCCTCCGGAGGACGAAAAACCACCTAACGCACAAATCAGAAGTTCAGGAACAGACTTCCGGTTTGCCCATTGGGCTGTTTTTCACCCTCCAGAAGTTTCTTCGAAGCCTCCGGAGTGCAAAAAACCGGCCCTACGGGCGATCCGGAGCTTCAGGAACAGACTTCCAGTTTGCTTGTAGGACCGTTTTTTGCCCTCCGGAGCCTCCAAGAGGCTTCCCTGAAGGCTCCGGAGGTCGAAAATCGGCTTTATGGACAAACTGGAAGTCACCATTCCTGAACTCCCAGGTTCCCCGTAGTTCTGTTTTTCGCCCTCCGGAGACTCCTGAGGCCTCTGGAGGGCATCCAGGGAGGCTGTTTCCTAGAAAGCCTCTGGAGCCTGGGGAGGGCGGAAAAAAAGCACCGAAAGTGGAGGGAAGGTGCTGCTGGTCACGCGTGCATTTGTGTGTTGGTGGGTCGTGCGCATGGCATTATGGGTGTGGCACACCCGCGCATGACCCCCCTGTGCTCCCCCCACTTTTGGCACGGGAGCCAAAAAAGGTTCACCATCACTGGGCTAGACTATATAAAGGCCTCCAAGGTCCCTTCCAACCAGTGGTGGGTTCCAAATTTTTTTAGAACCTCTTCTGTAGGTGTGGCCTGCTTTGTGGGAGTGGCTTGCTGGCCATGTGACNAAATGAGGACCCGGATTCTTGTTGGGGGCGATATGCTGACTCTGTAAACTGCTTAGAGGGGGCTGAAAGCTCTATGAAGCGGTATATAAGTCTAACTGCTATTGCTATTCCTATTGCTAATTCTGCCCCATTTTACGACCTTTCTTGCCAGTTAAGTGAACCACTGTAGTTGTAAAGTGAGCAACAAGGTTGTTAAGTGAATCTGGCTTCCCCATTGCCTTTGCTTGTCAGAAGGTCACAAAAGGGGACCACGTGACCCTGGGACACTACGACCGTCGTAAATATGAGTCAGTTGCCAAGCATCCATATTTCGTTCCTGCGGCCATTGGGATGCTGCAACGGTCGTAAGTGTGAAATATGGTCATCAGTCACTTTTTTTAGTGTCCGTGTAATTTTGAATGGTCAGTAAACGAAGGGCTGTAATTCAAGGACCACATATAGAAGGAAAATATGCTCACAATTACCTTGGATTTGATAAATAAGTAAAAAAAAAAAAATTCAAATGGTCAAGGGCAACCTGTGTAGCAATTTTGGTAATTTGGAAATGCAACACAAGGATTTATCATGGGGTTTTTATGCAGACTGGGGAATCCATCGTAAGGAATGCAAAGGTTGAGATTCACTGGGTCAATGTGTTGTGAGAATACAGCCATACCTTCCACCAATCCTGCCTTCTCTTCTTTCCGTTTTTGAGATTCCTTAGTCAGCCTGAAGACTTCTGATGAACTCAACAAGTTTGCTTGCTCAAAATAACTCTTAAATAACGATACAGTAGGCTTTTAAAAAAAATTGCACTGTATCAGATAACAAATCCTCACTCTCGCACGGTGGCAGGTAACACTACCTACTGCTAAACCATACTCTGCAAAACTTATTTAAGTACTGCTAAAAAATTAGTTGAAAGTAGGAATAAAAATTTAAAAGTAATGATAATCCTCGACTTACTACCTCAAATGAGCCCAAAATTCCCATAGCTAAGTGAGATAGTAATTTTTCACGCATTTTACAACTTTATTTGCCAGTTAAGATAAAACGCTGTAGTTGTTCAGTTTAGTAACAGGGTTGTTAAGTGAATCTGGCTTTCCCATTGACTTTGCTTATCAGGTCGCAAAAGGGGATCACATGACCCCAGGACACTGCAACCGTCTTAAGTATGAGTCAGTTGCCAAGTGTCCTAATTTTAATCACGATTAAATCACATGCAACAGTCATAAGTGTGAAAAATGTTTCACACTTTTTCACATGTTTATAAGTCACTTTTTTCAGTACTGTGATAACTTTGGTTACAAAACACACACACACACATATATATATATATATATATATATATATATATATATATATATATATGT